CACTATTGGTGGTATCTATGTTGTACTTTTCTCCTAGAAAATAGCATTTTGCCCATTTTTTCTCATCAACACTTTTGTCTAGATACTCGGCAGCAGATGGATATTTCATCCTAAAAGCACTATAGAGTTTTCCGAACTCAACCTCTGTATAAGCTTTAGCGCACTCGATGAACTTCTTCGCACATGCATCTCTGTGGGTGGCAACGTGTCCTTTCACATTCTGTGACAAATGCCTTACACAATACCCGTATTGAGACAGAGGGAACACTTCCCTTATTGACTTGATCAAGCTTGGATTCCTATCCGAAATAAACACCATTCCAGGGACATCTGGTGTTACTGACTTCAACTGATTCAGAAACCACGTCCAACTTGCATCTTTCTCACCATCAACTACACCAAAAGCAATGGGATAATGATGATAATCAGGATCCTGAGCTGAAGCGACGATTAGAACTCCACCATATACGTTCTTCAGGTGGGTTCCATCTATAATGATGACTTTCCTCATCGATAGAAACCCTTCTATGCAAGCTCCCAATGCAAAGAATAGGTATTTAAACGTTTTCTGCTCATCTAATTCCACACAAGTCCGTGTACCCGGATTCACTTTCTCTAGCATGTACAAATAAGAATATAGCCACCGATAACTCTCCTCAGAACTTCCCCGCACCTCATTAGCAGCTTTGTTTTTTCCTCTCAGCGCTGTCGAGTATGATACTATCACGCCAAGCCTGCCTTGAACCATATTGATCAGCGTTTTTGGATCTGGTGTGTCGAATCGACCTGGATAGTCTTCAGCCAAAACAGTTGCAACTAAGTGTGGTGTGCCTTTCTTTTTTTGTTTGATTGTACTTGTAGTAACCCGAGAGCATGTGTGCACCTTGTTGTAAGTGACAATAGTGAAACTATTTGAGTTCATCCGCACAGAAGCTCTTAAACCCCACTTGCATCCCACTTTTGCTCCCAAACATTTTACCACGAAACGTGTGGGATCAGACTTTTTCGTTTCATACTCAAAACCATTCTCATGTGCACCTTTCTGCAGGAGAGCTTGCAGTCCCTGCCTAGTGTCAAATTCTTGACCTTTATATATATCTAAACCATCTTCCCATCCATGACTTACTTGCGAGTTTCCATCAGAATGTCTGACTTCTGTATCATCATCATACACGAGCTCATATCTTTGTAGAGGATCTGTATCATTTTCTTGCATCTCATTGTCTGGCATTTCATTGTCTTGCATTTCACTGTCCAGTATTTCTAAACCATCTCTAACGGTAGAAAACATCTCATCATTACTTAGACCTACATCAACGTCAACTCCATGATCCTCTTTTGAAACATGCACGCTTCCATGACTTTGATCAACATCCTTGATGAACTCCACATGTAAAACACTTCTACATTGATCCTTACTCATTTGTAGTAGATAACCAAAAACATTTTCGTCATTCCAAATATATGATGGTTTCTTCGTGTTCAAGACCATTGGATAGTAACTAATTTTCAGCTGAGATGTAGCTGCATCTATCAAAACCTTTCTGCAAATTCCCTCCACTAATCCAAGATAAGTGACATCCTCCAAAGATTTCCTCATCACTAAAGTGTGAATCTCATCTTCTACAGAATTCCAAATAACTTTATCACCATCTTTTGAATAGAACCCCCCATAATCAAAACATATGACTGTGCAACCACTGCTACTCATTTCCCCTGAAAAGAACAAAACAATCGTAAGGTAATCTTATCATAGTTGTACCAGTTTTACTAGTCGTACTTAAGATGTCCAGTTACGCTAGTTATACCAGTAGTACCCAGAAAGTTTAGTTCATCCTAGTCGTACTAATTCACTTAATATGTCCAGTTGTGCTAGTTGTACCCAGTAGTACCCAGAAATTTGGTTCATCATACGAATCATCACTAGTTTTTACGATTCATTGCTCAGTTAACCAAGATATCATATTTAATTAACAATATCAGTTTCTAATAGCCTTATCCAACTAGCTCAGCAGCTCCAATGAGAAAAAAAAAATCAAAATTTTCTTTACTATGAAATTCTCTAATTGAGAAGAAATTATGTATTATTTGCTCTGCCTATGACATAAACTTGATAATTCAATCAAGAAATCGAAAATAGTATAAGAAACAGCAACAACTAACCTTCAATTTCACACCTCTGATTTTGTCAATGGTGGAAACATGAGAGGAAGAAGACGACGATGAAAGGGGACGTGCAAAAATTTTGGTGGTTGGTTTGGTTGGTTTAGACAATTAATTTTAGGTTGGTTTGAATTAAATTTCTTACCAAACCAACCACCCAAATTTCTTTTATTTTTTATCATTTTTTTTTTATTTTTTTTTATGTATTTATTAAGGGCAACATAGTCAATTCAGTGAAGAGAGAGGCAGTGAGATTAGAGGGGGGCAGTGAGATTTTGGGGAGTGTACGGCAGGGCATTTCAGATTAATGTCCACATATTATATGAAGTTTGAAGGTTTGAGAAATTTTATCTACATATATCTAATTTTAATTAATTGTTAAAAGAACGATTATTTGTTAATCAGATTATTGTATACTTATAAATGAATATATGAAAATGTATTAAGTTTTTAAAAGCAGAGATATTATGTTTAAAGGTATCAGAGATCTTATTGAAAAAATGTTCGACCACCTAAATCTCTACCAGTGACTATGATTTGATAGAAGAAAGAAACACTGATATGATTTGGAGAATGAGAGGAATGACGACATTGTGAAGCCATTTTCATAGCTACTAGACTCATTTCTAACATATGTGAAAGAAGAAGAACCGAAGAAGAATTAAGTTATAAGATCTGATTTAAAAATTGATCATCGGTAGATTAAGTGCAAGCTTCAAACATTTGACATGATTATTTGGTTTCTTTCTATATATCTTGTAGCTTTTTTTAATTTCTAAAGCTCAAGGTAGCGATCTCGTCAATACATAAACTTAAGTTGTGGTAAAGATATAGGCCAATGTGAACTGTTGTTTCATTTCTGTTTTTTTTTAATTTTTTTTTAAAATACTAAAGAAATATTAATGTTAAGAAATTATTTTAGTTAATGTAAGAAAAAGATACATTAAAAGTTTCATAATCAAAAATAAGAATATAACATGTATATAGAGAAAGTTATGATCATAAGTGAATTTATAATAGTAAAATGTGATTTCTCGGTTTTTGACGGATAATGCAAATTTTTGGGTTTCGTAGGAAAATGCAATTTCATGGTTTTTGCGGAAATATACAGTTCGACAGTTTTGTAGAGAAAATACGATTTCTCAGTATTAGTGGAATAATGCGCTCAATTTTGATGGAAAATTGCGATTTCTCGGTTTCGTTCGGAAAAAGAAAATTTTCGGTTTTGGCAGAAAAACACAATTTCACAGTTTTTGAAGAAAAATATAATTTGACAGTTTTGGTGAGAAAATGCAATTTTTTGGTTTTAGTGAAAAATGTTATTTCTTAGTTTTGATTAGAAAATATGATTTTACCAGTTTGAGAAAAAAATATAAATTTTTAGGTTTTGTTAGAAAAACATAATTATGTGATTTTGTCAAAAAAGTGGTTTTAGGTTTCTTTATTGTTTTTTTATGTTTAAAAGTACTTTAGTCATTTGTTATTTTGCACTGAAACATCTCCATCCATATGGTCCAATTTGGTTCATCCAAATAATTTTCATAGATCTATCTAAATTTTGAAAAATTATCTAGATAATTCATCTGAATATTTTTTGATTTTGTTACAAAACAAACAAAATTCTAATCATTATTCAAATGAATCATATGGATGTAGAAATAAATAGAGCTTAAATACAAAACTTATGCTAAGTAAAAAATAAATATAATATTTATTTGCATTATAAAAATAATTTTTTTTTAAAAAATATATATATATATATATATATAAAATTTAAAATAATATCCCGCAGCATAGCGCGGATAATTATCTAGTTTATAATAATATTTATAAAAATATGTTAAATCTATTTTTTTTTTAAAAAAAAAACTAAATCACCACTGAAAAAGTAAAAATATTAAAAAAAGGTAAATCAAAATGTAAGAGTTATTTTTTTCAATTAAATTTGATCATAGGTTTCTAAAATATATTGAATTTTCATAATTTTGCATAAATTGTATCAATTTAATTATTCATTTTTTCGATAACTTTGATGAATTGATTATTCTACTCTTATTAAAACTAAATATATCTATTCATACCATATTTAACTTTTTATTGAAAATGTGTATTATAATGTCTCAAAATTTGATCGGTTGATTTACATGTATTGCTATCATTTTCATCTAGATTACAATTTGAATACTCATTGATTTATAATTTAGAATTTGAGAAATTGTGTAAGAAAGTCATAAACATATTAATATAGAAACAAAATAATTAAAATTATAAATGTAAATAAAATAAAAGTGAATACTTTGACGCAAAACCTTTTATAGACTAACCTAAATTAATTTTTTTATTTTTTTTTGTTTCTGACTAAATTTAGTCAATATTTCTTAAAATTTAGTCAAATATTTCTTGATATTAAATACTTTAAAAGCTGGATATTTATTGTGAAGAATGAATGGTTAGATTGATTATAATTCACTTAATCGTATCTGTTCTTATTTTTTTCCAAATAAAAATTTTTACTTTCAACATTTTATTAAATTGGAAGAGATTTCATGAAGTTTGAATTAAATAAAATTATGAGAAATTTTATCTGTTTATATAGAATTTAGCTGTATTTTTCTTTTTCTTATAAGATTAGTATTTGATTGTATATTTTCCTAAAACTGAAGATTTTTTAACTTTCCTTTTTGTTTTCTTTTTAGAAATGACATATCTTTCCTTTTCTTGATAGATTTGTTTCTTTTTAAGATAAATAGTCAACTGTATAATTAAATTACTATATGAAAATTTTATTTGACTAAAAACAAATTCTACAGGTTCAAGGGTGAAGATAGGAAAATTACATGGTAATCTTGTAATTGTATCCAATGACCAGAAACAATAAACCCTTTATTTAAAGCTCTTGGTTTTCATCAGAAAAGAACACACACTGTGCTTTGATAGACTCCTATCTCAGAACTCAGAAGCTCTTCAAAATTCCAGTAAAGTTCTTCTTGCTAACATACAAGAATTTCAGATGCATTGTTTCTTTAGTTTCTGTATTTTTTTTTTTGTTTTTTTGGGAGTATGGGTTTTAAAGAAATCAGTTTGTCACAGAATCTCCATCTGATTTTCAATTTGTTGTGGTTTCTCTTCTTGGATTTTCTGATAGAATCGTTTTTACGACAAAATTTAGTTAGTCCTGACTTGTTTTTTTCATTCTCAAAACGAAGAGGCTAAAATAGTTAGGCTATAGACAAAGAGACGATTGTTCCTGTGCCATGCATTAGAATTTCACTTTAGAAAGAAACTAAGCTCCTCTTGCATTCATTCAAGGCTCGTATCCAAATTGTTTACTCTCATGTTGTTGTGGTGGCAGGTGTATTGTTTGGGACACTGCGATATACATCAAGTTTATTGGAGAAATGGTAATCTCACACCTTTATAATCTCTCAGATAATAGTAGTTCTAGTTCTGGAACATATGGAAATGATATAAAAGTTTCGATGTTTCATTTGTATGTGCGATGTTTCTCTCAGGCGGAACATTCTGACAGTAATGCAAATTGGGATAAATATGATGACATCGTTGTCTTCACATCTTCTTCTTCATCTTCTTCTGATGATGAATATATGTCGGAATCCTCGGTTGATGTAAGTGCTTGTTTATGAATTCTAAAGAATCAAACTCTTAACTTGTTCCACGCTTAAACAATGATAGTATATGATTTTTTTGTTTTTGTTTTTGTGTATGCATTAGACAAACGTAGCTCACGTGGAAACATCCTATGGTGATATGATAGCTAAGTGTCACGTGGAAACATCCGATGGTGATATGATAGCTAAGTGTGTTGAAATGGGATTCTCGTTCGACATGATAGATAGAGCGATTGAACATACTTTCGGTGAGAATATTTATTCTTGTGTGTTATCTGAGATATTATATCTATATATATATGCGTTTCTGAAGCGTGTTAATCAATGAAATGTTAATAACTTGCAGGAGGAAGTCCAGAACTGATAATTGAAACTCTAATCAAGTATACTGTGAGTATCTTCTGTTTGGATTTTTTTTTTTAATGTTATTTGTACTTTTCTATGTTCTTTTTCTTGTGGTCATAGTCTGATTGTATTTGCCATTTTTGATGTATATTGATATTTGCTAGAGATGTCATTTTTAATTCCATTCAATGTTTCTTTGTGCAGTCAAGTTTTGTAGCTACTTGTTCGAAATCTAAGGTCATAGATTATCTTACTGGTATGGGTTTTTCCGAGGAGGTGGTGATAAAATATATACACGAATATGGTAATAACATATTGCTTACCTCTTTTTTTTTTTCCAAGGAATTGGGATATATACTAATGAGTTATTTTGAAAATTTCCTTGATAATTTGTAGGAGAAGAAAATGTAGAGGAGATAACAAATGCACTTTTGAGTAGAGCTGTAAGTACTCACTTATTGTAATTTCACAAGAGACGACAAATGTTGTTCTCCTTGATGTTGTTTCATGAATTAAAGGCTTGTTACTGTTTTGTAGGAGGCTGAGAAGATGCTTAAAGCAGATAATAATGATAACGCCAATCTTTACTTAGGCCTATCATTTTCACATGAAAAGGTTTATATCCTGTTTTTTTTCTTCTTTAAGTTTCTGAATGTTGCTGGGCTGTAACATTTTCTATAGATTCGTTGAGGTTCATTACATTTCTCAGTATCTGATATTTTGTAAAGGTAGATTGTATAACATCTTTCTTATCTAATTTTGGAAATGACAGAATGAGCTAAACTCATACAATGAAGATGGTAGATTGCAATCTTTGATCAAAATGGGATATCCAATGGAAGAGGCTTCTATTGCTATAGAGAGATGTGGTAACCTCTCGTTTTTCTTTTAACTACATCTGTTACATGTGTACATTTATTTATCTCATAAATGCAATTAGTGCCCTTGCAACTTATTCATGTTTCTTCTTAGACTCTTCAGGAGTTAAGTCAAGTGTGGAAGAGGTCATTAACTTCATTTCTGCTGCTCGGATGGCATGGCAGTCTGATGAAATTTATGCAAAACCTGATGAAGAAGAGGTATTGAGTTTAAGTTTCTTGAAGAATCATTTGTTTGAAATCTTAACCTTTTAACTGTGCCTACAGCCAACAAAAAATGCCAAGAAGAAGAGGCGCACACTCAATGAGTCACCGAACACTGCCATCCACCTACCAAAACCTATGACCGGCTTTGGTCTACCTGACCAGCCTGGGGTCATGACGGAAAGACCGGTACCAGTTCCGAGCATCGCTATTGGCCCACCCTACTTTTATTACGAGAATGTCGCGATGGCACCAAAAGGTGTCTGGGATACGATATCAAGGCATCTCTACGACATCAGTCCAGAATTTGTTGATTCAAAGTATTTCTGTGCTGCCGCAAGGAAGACAGGTTATGTTCATAACCTCCCAATCAGCAACAGATTTCAGGTTCGACCGCCACAACCCAGTACTATACAGGAAACATTTCCATTAACCAAGAAATGGTGGCCGGCTTGGGACACGAGGACGACGCTCAACTGTTTGGTAACTAGCATCGGCAGTGCCCCATGCGCAAATGAAATACGTGAAGATCTTGAGAATCATGATGGGGACCTCAGTGTTCAGAAAAGGGTCATGGATAAATGCAAGAAATTGAATCTGGTTTGGGTCGGTAAGAACAAAGTTGCCCCGCTAGAACCATCTGAGATGGAACAGCTTCTAGGTTTCCCAACAAATCATACCCGAGGAGGTGGTCTTAACAAAACTGGTCGCTACAAGGCTCTTGCAAACTCATTTCAGGTATACTTCTATAACTAAGTCTCTCTATTATGATTCAGTTTCAGTTATAAAGTCTTTGGTGGTATAAACTTGTTTTTTTTTCCTTCTTCTTTAGGTTGATACCGTTGCCTATCATTTGTCTGTCCTTAAGCCATTGTTCCCAAACGGAATAAACGTTCTGTCACTCTTCACCGGGATAGGTGGTGGAGAAGTTGCACTGTACCGTCTTGGAATTCCGATGAACGTAGTTGTATCTGTTGAGATATCTGAGGCGAACAGAAACATATTACGGAGTTTCTGGGAAAACACTAATCAAAAGGGTGTTCTAAAAGAGTTCACGGATGTCGAACAGCTACACGACAATGTGGTTGAGCAGCTTATGGACCAGTATGGAGGGTTTGATCTTGTCATAGGCGGTAGCCCGTGTAACAACATTTCCGGAGCTAATGGGGTTAGTGGGAGCGGAGTCGAAGGAGAACACTCTTCACTGTTCTATGATTATTGCAGGATTTTGGATGCTGTTCGACGTAAAGCAGCAATAATGAGGAGCTGAAGGATCTCTTACATGAGTTTGTGTTCAAAATGATTCAATGTTGTGTTTGTCAGATATTATTGCAGGATTCTATTTTCGATTTTAGTTTAAGTAAGTTGCAAGTTTCTCTATTTCGGCTATTGAGAAGCAGACAAAAGTAAACCGAAATGTTTGAGAATTATTTTATTTCCAGAAATTTTATAATTTTATTTATACAAGTTTGACTGAAAGTTGGGAAATCAAGTTGGAGTCTTTGTTTTTGTTATTCCTCTCTTTTGGCCTACTCCTCTTTTCTTTATTATTTCCTTATTGACTTGACCTTTCCAAAGTAAGTAACTTCACCATTAAAATGGAGCCTAAAGCGACCATGAACGATCTAAGACCCAGAAGACTGGCTTTCCTTGAGGTTACTCCTCGTCCTTTCACGTCTGTTCTTCACAATGCTTCTTGTTCAAAGGTATGGAGACTCACTCTCTTCTTTTTTTCCATATATTGATCACAGAATTCACAACCATATTAGATACAGTCAAGATTTCTTGTAGCTCTGATAGAATGAAATTACTTACGGAAATGTCTGTAGATCCCAAATAGATTAGGAGGAAGAGATGGAAATAAATCTAATTGTATCTAATCAGATCCTTATCTCAATACTGTTGATATGATCTTTGCTGTGGAGAAATTGGTTGCATCTAGAATTTGAGTTCTTGATCTGAGTGAGTTGTTGTAAAGAAGAGATATATTGGATGGTGTTAAGAGTTTTGTATGTACATTCAGGATGTTCCAGGAGCACATCATCCGCAGAGGCCAGTGGTATATTAGGAGGATTTACTCCTGGATTTTTAACTTATGTATGCAGTCTTATGGAGAAGAGGTATGTATCTGTGCTTATTAGCTTGATTTTGCATCATTCTCTTTACTGATTCCTCAAGAGACTCACAGGTTTTGTTTTTTTTTTCCTCTGTTTCTTCTTTGGTTTAAAGATTGAGGATTTCAAGATTAAGGTGTTTGAGAATCTGACTTCAAAAGCTGGAAAGGTGTTAGAGATTGGTATTGGGACAGGTTTTAATATGAGATACTACGCTGCTCGTAATGTGAATGTAACTGTTCTTGGGTTGGATCCAAATCCCGAAATGAAGAAGTACGCACGCAAATCCGCTAAGAGAGCAGGATTGAGACCTAAAAACTTTAGATTCAAGCAAGGAGTAAGTCTTGGACACAAAACACATTATGTCCTTTTTTCATAATCCTTATCTGTTGATCTTGTCTGCCACGTAGGTAGGAGAAGCTATACCACTAGGTGATGAATCTGTGGATGCAGTTGTTGCAACACTTGTTCTATGTTCTGTCTCTGATGTCACTCAAACACTCAATGGTAAGTTGTTTGTTCCAACTAATTAAAAGGCTGATTTCTACACAAACCCTAAACTAACCCTTTTCAGCATTTTTATGGTAACTTCAGAAATCAAGCGAGTGCTGAGACCAGGAGGTGTTTTCATTTTCTTAGAGCATGTTGCAGCGAAAGGTACATAAGTGTACATGTGTGTATATATATACAGAGAAAAAGAGATATCTTAGCATATTCAATTGCAGAGAACCTAAATCATTTTTCTCGGTTGCAGATGGAACTCTCTTGAGGCGTTTGCAGAAACTGTTAGATCCACTGCAGCAGAAGTTAGCAGATGGATGCCATTTGACAAGAAACACGAGAGATTGCATCTTGGAAGCTGGTTTCAATGGCGGCGCCGAAATAGAGACCGTGTCGACGTATAGCTTCCCGTGGGTAACAAGACCTCATATCTATGGAGTTGCTTACAAGTAAAACCATCGAGTCTACACAATGATTGGTTAAAATGGATATGATTCTTTATGATTGTATAATTTGTATTTGTAACTGAATGTTGTTTCTTTAAGGGAAAAGCTAGATGCCGTGAAAGTTTATAAGACAAGTCTCCTATGAAGAAGTTTAAACTGATGAATGGTTTTGGAATGTATATGCTTGAGCACAAACAGAGAACATTATAATTAGAATATTTACATACAGATTGTGATTTAACATGGACCTTAAGTATCTTCCGTCCAGGGCATGAACTTCAAGCCCATAGTCAAGGGTACACCAATACCTTATAAAATTTGTTGCTTTTTAGGTAATGGGAAAAATCTGTCTCGGTCTTTTGGAAATGCGTATGTCACACACAATACACTCAGAAATAGCCATCTCAGTGAACATAGATTCACCTCCAAGAACAAGAACAAGAATTAGCAGTTCTAGAGATTCTGTCAACAGAGTCAGAAGAATCTCATAGCTACAGATTCTGCATCCTCTAGTTTCAGCTTATGTCCGTGTGGAAGAAGTCATTTCCTAGGAGAAGCTACGACGCCGTTTCTTCCAATCTCCCCTTCCTACGCTTCACGATCCTCTGCTTCTGACCCATTGGTTGCTTCCCAGTTTCTCTTTATCTTTCTTCTTGGTTTTCTGTTAAACCCTAATAAGAGGGTTTAAATAAGAAACAGAGAGATAGAAGTGAGAAAAGATAACAGATCTTAATCCTGCTTCTATAGCGGATTTTCGGTCGTATCTTTCCATTTTAGGGTTTAGAGTAACACCAAGAACAGAGATGTTTGGAATAGCGTTGTAGTACTTGATATTTGGACCAGCTCCAAAACTTTCTCTGCTTTTCCCACCAAATTTTCAAAGAGCTTCGTCTTGTAACACGCAATCTGACAAAAGAAGAAAAAAAAATTATATGACACACAAAGATGGAATGTAAGAAACTAAGCATACCTCAAATCTCATGGAGTCACTAACCTCTTTCTCATACTTTTCCATCCCTGAAGTCCTAATATAAATAGATTTACATATTTAGATGAAATATGCATCCAATTTGATGACAGTGGTTGTGGCCGATGGATGTCATCGAACGAGGCACACCGGAGATTACATTTTAGAAGCTGGATTCAATGGCGGTGTAGATATCAACAAGGCTTCTCTTTCTAGCTTTTATGACTTAAGCCCTCATGTCTATGGAGTTGCATACAGTTAAAAAGACAAAACAACAATAAAATGTCTTAAATCTCATCCAAAAAATGTTTCAAAACACCGTTTTTGATTCTAAACTATAACAATTCTATGGATTGAGTCTGAGTATCTACGATTTGATGTTTGTAACTGAATACATTACTACAGAACAAGAAAAAAAAAATCAGAAGACTAAACAAAAAAAAAAAATGTCTTACAACTCATCTGAAGTATGTTTCAAAACTCTGTTTTTGATTCTAAACTACTCTATGGATTGAGTCTGAGTAGTTATAATTTGATGTTTGTAACTTAATAATATCATTACAACAGAATCTGTCTCCCTTTTTCCATTTAGAGGTCCATTTGATAATCGGACCTTTTTTTAATTAAAGATTTTCTCCCTCCTACGCTTCTGAGTCCCCAGCTTATAGCTCAATGTGTTTTTTCATTTGATTCTAGTTTATGTTAAAGATCTTTACTTTTTTCTTGCTTGATTTGAAATTGGGTTCACGCAAATCCGCTGTGAAAGTTAGATTGAAACCTAAAAACTTTAAATTCAAGAAAGGAGCAAGTCTTGGTTAACTATTTCTTTGCATTCTACATTCTGTCTTCTTTTCCTATAGTCCCCTGATTTTAGTTATATGTTGATCTTGTGTGTTACTTTGTGGATGCGTCGTTGCAACACCAAGTGTGTTAGGTTCTTAGTTTTGTAAATGACTTACATATTGTTTATAGGATGTAGAAATAACAATAGAGGAAGATATATGGTCAGAAATCATGGGATCTGTCAAATACCAACTAGACCACAATTATTTAATAAACTTCTTCAATTAATTATAGAGTTCTGAATAATATGAATTTTATTGGTTAACACTTCTGTCTTTTTTCTTTTTCCAAGGAATGTGTTGGGCATCTGTTATCGCTGAACTTGTGAGTGCGGTGAGACTAATAAGGAGTAGGACCTAAAAAGTTGAATACTCTTGTCAAGATTTATTGGATTTTACAAATCCTTCAATTGCCTTTTGAAATGAAGGTTAGTGCAAATGGTTTTGAAAACTTTTGCCTTGTGATGTGCTTGAAGATGTGGATTATGTCAGTAGAAATGGGATTGAAAGAGAATAAGATCGTCCAATTCAAGTCATATGCAATAAAGATATAGTAGTTGAATGCAATGAAGGGCGAAGTGGTTTCACTCAATACAGTTCAAGAAGTTTTTGAATTATTAAAAGAACATTCTGTTGCTGCAATTATCTCAAATTTCAAATCAAAGTACAATACAATTGTAGAAGTAACTGCAAAATATGCAAGAAATTCAATTATTTATTTTATTTCTTACTTTCTTTCTTTTTCATAACCATGTTAATTTTGTCAAAAAATTATTTGAGTTTTACTTCTCTGATTTTAAAATACTTAGCAATGCATGCAATCAACCTTATAGGTAATGGAGTAGATAAAAACGGTGAGAAGTATCGGAGTGCCATGATCTAGTTACGGTGATGAATTTGGAAAAAAAATGAACCTCTAAAATTTCTTTTGAACTCATGATGATTTGCCTAGTTTATGAGTTTGTATATCTAAGGTTACTATCCGGTGAAGATGAGATAGGTAAAAAAAAAAGGAAGAAATGAAAATGGATGAAAAGAAGATTGAATCATGTTTATATCCAAGTACATGAAGCTTGGAAATTTTATGAATGACACATATTGACAATCATGTTTTTGACCTAACTTGTATGAGCCATATACTCACTAGCACTATCTAGGCGATTAAAAAACTCAAGAAATTATGATTTTTGCACAGGATATGTGCAAAGATCAAGTTTACTTAATTTTCCACAGATATAAATGGATAGTGGAAGAATTTAGTTGTTTGGCTCATCGAAAATGTCTAATCACAGCAACGATTGAGTTTGAGGTAACCAACATTTTCTTTTTAAATACTAATTATACCACAGTAAAAACTTTGAATGTTTCTAGTTCTGATCATTGCAGCAAAAGAATCACAAGTATGTTAATTAAGTTAGTTAATTACAGTAAAATCTTTATAAATTAATAATATTGGAATTATGAAATTTTATAATATTTTATTAATTTATAAAAAAATAATTAATTAATAAATATATTATTTGGTTGATAAATTAATTTAAAATAATAAAAGATATTAATTTATTAAAATATTAATTTTTAGAAATTTTACTTTTTTTAATTTTATTAACACCTTACATAATATGCATTTTTTTATACTCATATTATATTGTGCTAATCTAAACTATTTTTTTTTCTTTTGCCATCAGAAGGAGTTTTGCCAACAACAAAATTCAGTTCAATGCAATCAGGTTGAGAAGTCTTTCCTGCTGAGCTAAAGGCAAATCAAAGATGTGATATAGAAGTTTGATCACTCATACTCAAGTCAGATTAATTTATGCTTGTTCATTTCTTTCAACTTTTATTTGTAAACGTTTAACATTGTTTTTTCTGTGAAATTAGATTAGATATGCATTTGTAAATTAGATTTATTTTCCATGCAACTAATAACAAATAAATCTAACTTAGCTTTATCTTTTCATGGAAGATGTTGCAACTAATTTAAATTAATACAAAGATGGATAAAAACTAATTAATAATGGCAAAAGTGAGGTAATTTTCTTTGGTGTCTTCAATCTTCATATTAGTTAGGATTTATTTGGTATAGTCCATTTACATGTAGAGAGACCACTCTTCAATAATTTTCGGTGTCTTCGAACCTTGGTGTGGCATGTGGCATGTATTGCCTTTTAAGGAACACGACCGACCACTTGGACGGGTTCTCGTGGGGATATAATCTCCAACTAAAGTATACTTAAACGTTAAAAATAACCGAACGGTTTTCCTCTAGACCGATTTACCATAAGTTGGTAAATAGTTTCAGGAACCAGAATTAATTCCAGGGTTAAAGAAATCTCTCGATTTCCAGGTAAACTCCGAAATTTGAACCTCGATCTTTTTCTTACTTGGGTTTCACTGATTTCCCATTTTCATTCGATAATCGACCGACGACAAGAGTCCCGATTTATGATGGTCTTTTCCGGTTAATCATCAAACGAGTATTTAATTATTTATGATTCGATGTTTGTTACTGAATCAATGACGTAAGGAGAAGAAGAAACTGCTTATTTCTGAGAAAGTTTGTAACTTTATAATTGAAATTCAAAAAGGGTAATCTTGGAAAGAGACGTTGTGTGTAGCGATTTCACATGTGGATAGAATCTGGCGTACATGATTCATCTTACTTCACTCTTATGCCCTGTTTCGATTATAAGTAACTGAGCTTTTCAATCAGCAATGGCGATCCTTCACTTGTCACCTTCTTCACTGATCTCGACGATAACACACTCGCAACGAAGAAGGATTAGGGCATCGCGAGATTCCGTCAAAATAAGGAAGGATCTCATTACAACAGAATCTGTCTCCTCTCTCAGCTTATGTCCCTGCGGAAGGAGGCATTTACTAGGATCCATGATTTCAATGCCGTTTCTTCCCATCTCTTCCTCCTACGCTTCTGGGTCCTCTGCTTCTATCTCAATGGTCTCACTTTCTTCCTTTGATTCCAGTTTACTATGTCAAAGATCTTTACTTTTTTGCTCCCAAATGGTAGAACTTTAGGGTTTATCTGGAAATTGATGAGGAAAAGCATCCTAATCTAAAAATCGTTTTTTATTCCTTTGATTCTACTTTATATTACGTTAAAGATCTTTACTTTTTCTTCTCGCTTGATTTGAAATTGGGTTCACGATTTATTGCATTGGAATGTCGAATTAAAAAAGAAAAAAAAAACCCACATTTGTTCCCAAATGGTAGAACTTTAGGGTTTATCTGGAAATTGATGAGGAAATGCATCCTCTAATCATCTAAAAATTGTTTTTTATTTAGAATGATTTGAAAAGATTGCGTCCTCCAAAGCCAGATTGGTACGAGGAGCTCTTTGCTTGGTGTATGAATACAGGAATGGAATCTTACGAGGCAGAGGTTAGTTTCGATATTATCATTCTTCTTCTGATCTTACAATCCGTTTTTTTTGTTAGTCATGTTATATGTTCTTCATTTTGTCAGATTTCGGATTACAAGATGAAACTCTTTGAAAACTTGGTGGGGAAAGCAGAAAAGGTTTTGGAGATTGGGATTGGAACAGGTCCCAATTTCAAGTACTACTCCACTATTCCAAACGTCTCTGTTCTTGGCGTTGATCCAAACGCTAAAATGGAAAGCTACGCACGAAGATCCGCTGTAGAAGCTGGATTGAAATCCCAAGACTTCACATTCATTCACGCCGTAAGTTTGTGATGAACATGCCATCATTGGTCCTTCTTGGTGATACCCTCATGCTACAGTTCCTGTTGATGATTTTGAATAGCTTGGAGAATCTATACCGTTGGAAGATGCATCGGTTGATGCAGTTGTGGGGACTCTCGTGCTTTGTTCTGTCACTGATGTCACAAGGACACTCAATGGTATAGTTGTTCACTTCCTTTGGATCTAACATAGTCACATAGTCACAAAAGAAAACAAATTTCATTTATGTGGTTTTGTTACAGAGATAAAAAGGATTCTGAGACCGGGTGGGATTTACATTTTCATAGAGCATGTTGCAGCGGAAGGTATCTCTTTTGACTCGAGATTCATCAGAGTCCATTGTAAGAACTACAGTATGAAGCTAAATGTAGAGTTTGTGTTCTTTTTTGCTGTGTAGATGGAACAGTTCTGAGATTGGTTCAGAATGTGTTGGATCCATTGCAACAAGTTGTTGCCGATGGATGTCACCTGACGAGGCACACGGGAGATTACATTTCAGAAGCTAGATTCAATGGTGGTGCAGATATCAACAAGGTCTCTCTTCCTAGCTTGGCTTACATAAGCTCTCATGTCTATGGTGTTGCTTACAATTAGAGAAAAAACAGGGGATGAATGTACATATTCAATGATAATATAAGATAAATGTAAAAAAAAAACACTTTCTCAATCTAATATAATATAATGCACAAGTAAGCCCAACGAATAAAAGCCCAAACCCAAACAGATTAATGTTATATAAATGGGGTTATCTCTAGGTTTACTCTTCCCGACTGTTTTCATCCTCTCTAATTATGGCCAGTTCTAGCAAGAAATCGAAACCTAACTTATTGGGTAAGCGAAAGCCGGAAGATGATTTGGCGACCAAACCGATTCCGAAGAGACATAAGGAGAAGGAGATAACGAAAGAGCAGTTGAAAGGAAGGGTCGAGCTGTTGGAGACAAAGTCTGATCAGGCTAAGGTATTGTAGCTATATTTGGCATAAAGTGTGCAACTTTGTGTTCAACTAAGCATCATCTTCTTATTATCTCCATAATGTAACACAAGTGTTGCCACAAAGTCAAGTCGAAAGATGAGTTATTCTTGGGAATGAATCTACTTCTCTTGTTATGCAATTTAAATCCTTTTCTCTTTAAATCGTGCTCAGGAACCAGAAAAAAAGCTCTTCGTTGACAATCTCTCTTGGCAAACTGAAACATCAGATATGTAAGCAGATTTTTCTCTTTACAGTTCCACTCCCTTTCTCGGAGCATATAGACTAATACTTTATCCTCCAACATTGTTGACAGCATCGATTTCTTCAAAGATGTTGGAAAAGTCGTTCGTGTTCAGCCTTCACTACACGCATCCAACAAGGGCAGGCGTGTGAGCTGTGGCTATATTGAGTTTGCTTCTGCTGACGAAGCAAAGAATGTGAGGGTTTGCTTTATAGTAATGATGCAAAATTATTTGAAGTTACCATTGCTGATCAAATCTTTTTATACTGTAGGTGCTGGAAAAGAAGAACGGTGAATCTTTGCACGATCGTGAGATTATTCTTGATGCTTATAAGCTAAATCGTCGAAGGGAAGACCCGGTAATATATATTTATTTTTTGTTATTATGCAGTTTAAGTAATTTTCTGCTTTAGAGTCAGGTCTAAACACACACACTTGGCTGTTAAATTCAGGAAATTGCCGCGCCAAAAAAGACGCTCTTTGTTAAAAATCTCCCTCCCCAAACTGAAATATCAGATATGTAAGTAGCAACTTAAAAATTTCCACTTTTCTCTCTCTCGGAGCAAGTTTGTTCATGGACTGAATATTTTACCTTCCAGCATCGAATTTTTCCAAGATGTTGGACAAGTCGTTCGTGTTCGGCGTCTTGTGAATAATCCGATTAAGTATAGAAGCAGTGGCTATGTTGAGTTTGCTTCTGCTAACGAAGCGAAGAAGGTGATAATAGTTTATAGTGACCTCATCTCTATTATATTCAGTTAATGTTCATTGTTCAATACTCTCGCACATAGTTTTATAGATTATTTGAAAACTAGTTTATATTTACAAGTAGTTATTGCTGATGACTGTAGGCACTGGAAAAGAAGAAGGGTGAATATTTGCACGATTGCCAGATTTTTCTTGATGTGGCTAATGGCACAGATCGAAAATACATTCCACCCGTGTAAATAAAATGATTAATGTTCTTGAGATTTGTTTCTTGTTGTTTAGAGTTTTGATGCCATTAAAGAAGATTAACACTATTCTTTCTTTGTTAACTAGGCATTGCATAGATCACAAGGTTTGGTAAGTGATATTTAAGTATTTGTCTCTTGATTTTGTTATAAAGAGCACATTGGGTGAGAGATCACAAGGTTTTCGATATTGCAGGTACCAAGACTATTTGCCTCAACAAGAAAGCCTTCCCATAAAAGAAGATGAGACACCTCCCAATTTTGTTGGGGTACCTCTTCTTATTTATCTCTGCGTATAATCTGATGAATAATGAATTATATGTTTTGGAGATGAATCTACTTTTTGTTGTTATCAATTTAAGTGTGTTAACCTAACACACTTGGCCGTTCAATGCAGGAAGTACTCTTTGTTACCAATCTCTCTCCCCAAACAACTAGACTATCACATATGTAAGCACCACCTTTAATTTCCACTTTCCTTCTTTGGAGCAAGTTGATCATGACTCATGACTGATATATTATCCTCCACTTTTACAGCATCAACTTCTTCGAAGATGTTGGACAAGTTGTTAGTGTTCGACTTATTGTAAACGAGGAGGGTAAGCATGTGGGGCATTGCTTTGTTGAGTTTGCTTCTACTGACGAAGCCAAGTGGGTGAGTAGTTTTGTAGTAATTTAGAAAGTAGTGTATATTCATGTTGAAAATTGTACAAGTAGTTATTTCAAAACTATACTGTAGGCGCTGGAAAATAAGAATGGTGAATATTTGCACGATCATAAGATTTTGTTGATGAAAGGACAAGATCAAACTCCCGATTCTGTTGAGGTACCAAGAAACGCTTAGCGTTTAATAACACAACTCTTGCCCTTAAGTCGAAAGATGAATCTTGAGAGTTGCTAACACACTTGGCTGTTAACTTCAGGCAGCTGCCGTACTAGAAAAGACGCTCTATTTTGCCAATCTCTCTCGCGAAGCTGAAATATCAGATATGTAAGTAGCACTTTTGTTTTCCTCTTTCGATCTTGGAAATTGTTTTTTCATAGACTAAATATATTATTATCCTCCATTTTTACAGCATCAGTTTCTTCAAAGATGTTGGACAAGTTGTTGGTGTTCAACTTACAGTAAAAAAATCGGGCAAGCGTGTGGGCAAAGGCTTTGTTGAGTTTACTTCTGCTAACGTAGCAAAGAAGGTGAGAGTAGTTTATAGTAATGATGATTAAGTATTTAACTGAAAGTACGATTGCTGATTAAATCGTCTGTACTGTAGGCTCTGGAAAAGAAGAACGGTGAATATTTGCTCGATTGCCAGATTTTTCTTGATGTTGCTAAGACAAATCCACGACACAAGTAAATTGGTTTCCCATGTTATGAAGATTTGTTTATGCAACACTCGCTATAACTTATTGCACAAGACTAACGCTATTATTTTTGTTAATCAGATTTTGCGTAGATCACAAGGTTTGGTAAGGGATTTAACTATTTGCATCTAAATTTTGTTATCAAGAGGACAAGGAGGAGAGATCACAAGGGTTTTTGATATTCCAGGTACGAAGACTACCTCGGAAGCATTCTGATAGAAGAAGATGCGGCAGTGGAAGTACTTGATGAAACTCCCGATTTTGCCGAGGTACCTTTTTCTTATTATCTTCAAAATATGGATGACAAACTGTTGCCACAAAGTTGAAAGATGAATCTTTAGATGAGGCAATCTAAGTCCTTTTTTTCTTTAGAGTCGTGCTAATACACTCGGCTGTTAAATCCAGGAAGTTGCTGCAAGAGAAAAGACGGTCTTTGTTGCCAATGTCTCTTTGAAAAGAGACGCAATTGGTGACTTAATAAATATGTAAGTGTATCACCTTTTCATTTCCTCTTTCGTTCTTGGAGCAAGTTTTTCATGACTAATATATTTTATCCTCCATTTTTACAGCCGAAGAATCTTCAAACGTGTTGGAAAAGTTGTTCGTGCTCGGCTTATGGTAGACCACAGGGGTGAGCTTGTGGGCTGTTGCTTTGTTGAGTTTTCCTCTGCTGACGAAGCAAAGAAGGTGAGAATAGTGTATACTTATGATGAAGATCATACAAGTAGTTATCTAAAAGTACGATTGCTGATTATAGCTTTTTTTTCCCGTAGGCGGTGAAAAGGAAGGATGGTGGTTTGGTTTATGTTAACATGGCTGAGATAGCTCCATACCCTTTCCGACGCAGGTATAATTGATTTGCCTGCTATGGAGATTTGTTTCGCTTACTTATTGCTATAGTTTTTGATTTCATAACAGAAGAAGAGTAACGCTATTATTTTTGTTAATTAGGTACAACTTGTACAAGCTTGCAAAGAAGCTTTGGTAAAGGATTTGACTATTTGCCTTTAGAGTTTTGTTATCAAGAGCACATTAGGTGAAGTTTTTTGGTGTACATGGAGAGATGACAAAGGGTTTTTGATATGTTCCAGGTACGAAGACAACCTTCGACGAGAAGGCCTTGGTTTGATGAACAAGCCGAAGCTGGAGCTGAAGAAACCGCAGGCAATCTTCTGCGGTAAGGGATTTAACTATTTGCCTTTATGGGATGTTATTCGATATATATGGTTGGATTTGAATTCTATTATAAGTCGTGATGATTAAATAACACTCCTTAAGAGTTTTGTTATCAAGTGAAATTTTTGGTATGCAAGTCATGACAAGAGTTTTTGATATAATACAGGTACGAAGACAGTTCTTGCGGAGGAGGAGGCTTTGGTTTGTTAAGAAGATTACCTTTTCCTGTCACGACGGCTGATAGAAGAAGATAGTTCTTGCGGGCAACTGTTGACATGGGGGGGATGGCGAGAAAGGACAGCTTGGTCATGGTGACGATGACGCAAAGCTACTTCCCGAGTGTGTAACTTCGCTGTCGCACGAAAACATCTGCCAAGTTGCTTGCGGAAATAGTCTCGCGGTCTCTCATACATCCAAAGGACGTGTGTATACAATGGGTAGCAATGCTTATGGCCAGCTTGGAAATCCTTACGCCAAGGCAAAGTTCCCCTCACGTGTTGAAGGAGACTTGGGAGATACTTGTGTAGAGGAGATTGCGTGTATTTCTTATCATGTTGCAGTGTTGACATCAAAACCAGAGATTTACACATGGGGAAAAGGATTTAATGGGCAGCTAGGCCATGGAACCGTTGAGAACAGAAGGGAGCCTGCGGTTGTAGGGTTTCTGAAAGAAAAGCAAGTGAAGGCTATAACATGTGGATATAACATCATCTAGTGGTATAGCTTTTCCTTTTGACGTTACAGTTCTCTGTTGATCTTGTCTGTCACTTAGATAGGAGAAGCTATACCACTAGATGATGTCCAAAATGTATTGGATCTTTTTTCCAGGCATGTCCAAAATGTATTGGATCCATTACAGCAAGTAGTTGCAGACGGATGTCATCTGACTAGAAACACCGGCTTATACATTTCGGCTGCCGGTTTGGGTGGTGGCGCAGAGATCAACACGGCGGCGATCTATAGCTTCCCTTGGATAATTAGACCTCATGTCTGTGGTGTGGCGCACAAGTAACTATGCAAGTAGGAGGCGAGGTTTTGAAGATTCATGAGATCTTTCTATATTCGAATCTATTCTTCAGTTTCGATTTTATGCAAATTGTTTCTCAAGTTTCGAAACTCTAGCTGCATTATACTACTCTTTGTTATGAGCTATAACTTGTATCACAAGTCTCGTATGAATTGTACTCCCTTTGCTATTTTGACGCAATTGGCTACATGTGAAAAGTTATGTGTAGGGTGTGGATTTTTATGAACATCAACTTCTGTCGTAAGAAAAGTTCGTCAAATTAAAACGATTTACCAAAGCACTAAAAAAATCAAAGAAATATTATATCAAAAGATGCAATCAGAGAGTTTAGAGCGACCTCAAACTTCAAGCAAATGAGTGCAATCAGAGAGTTTAGAGCGACCTTTAAACTTAACAAATTATTCATTCCATCTTCAAATTCTAGAACTACTGTCATTTAGCATCTTCTACCAAAGATTGATACCAATATAGGTTATTGGAAAGCTCATGCATTTTAGAACATTTATTCGCTTTTTTTTTTTTTTGAAAAACAATTTATTTTCCAAATTTCCAGTCTTGAAAATGAAATTTATTCCAATTTATTTTTTCTTTTGTGGTCAAATTACACCTTTCATACCATTAAGAATATACAAGAATTTAGGTGGTTTTTCTTTGTTAATTAAACAAGTTCTGGAGCTACTTCGTTGGTAATACATGTTTGGTGTAAAACATTTCCTCCCAAGTGGAGATTCGAACTTGGTAACAAGGCCACAGAACAAAAGCTCCCGAATCATCAGTTTCAATTAAAAAGTAAAGAGATTAAGGATTATCCATTAAGATAAGGAAAAAAAAAAGCGTCGTTTATTCAGAAGATATATATGATATGATGTAGGCTGCAGCCTGCAGCAACGAAAGTAAGAACAAAAAGTTAGAAATACAATGAAACATGTTACATGTTCCCAAAGTTGCACATGCATGAGAGCTTCACGTCATTGTCCTTTCGACTATTCCACGAGCACCGTTTATTTTTTCAAGTACCCAATGCTCTCCAACTTTTTCTTTTTTTCCATAATTTTTTCTAAGCGGATTATATATCACGTCATTTTTCCTTTTGTTCTTACTTTCTTTTATAAAAATGATGTACTCTATACTATAGATGCCATCGTTAGTTATAGACAAATAGAGACCGATCAATTCATACAAAAAGTCTTTTTCCAAAAGAAACTTACACAAAGTCTATCTTTTCTCTTTATGTTAGTTAGAATCGCTACCGGAATAACTACTATATAGTCATCGAGACTCTTAACAACATATTGAAAACTTGAAATTTATAATTCTTTTTGTTTTGTGGGTCAAAATTCATAATCATATTTTCTAACAATATATAGTGCCAATTTTAAGGCACCGCTTGATAACAATGAATAATTATCTGAACTAATATTTCATATGGATAATGAACTAATTTGTTTCAAATGCAATACCATCATCGTTAAGTTGAGGAATCTATTATTTAATATTTACAAACGTTTTTTTGTCTAAACGGATAGATAATGGTTTAACAAGTGACGATTTGGTGAGAATGACTAGTTTGTGGCTACTGTGGCTCTCCCTACGAGGGAAAAATACATACTATTTCTGTGGTTGCTTCTGTTCATTCAAGTGTCAAGTGTTCCACGATATGTAGGGACCAACTTTACTTGATTTCACGTGACATGTTTAAGTTTATGTGTACATGGAAAAACAAAGTATACAGAATAACAAAATAGTCCGATATTAATAAAGTATTATATTTATCTGAAAGTATACCCTTATTCGTGAAAGATTTGTCTGAAAGCATAGGCTAGGCTTGTGGGCTAACCTTAAGTCTCAATGGAAACAATTAATATTTAGAACGATAGATAGAATCTTATCTAGCTAAGACTTTATAAAAAAAAATCAAAATCATTGACATTTCATCAAACAAAGAAAAATTAATGGGAAATCTTTTTATTTAATTGGTCCCAGCTAAATAGCCATGTTCCTAGGGTCATGCATCTTCTACTCTTTTTCAGAATTCAATTTAGGAGGTGAGGAATTTTTGCAAACAAAGAACAAAGATTTCCTCAGATATTGTTTTTTACAAGGAAAGTATAATTCTCCTAAATACATAGTGGTGTTTTTTAAAAAAAAATACTGTTGATTCTCTCTACTAATAGACAAATGAAGGTTTCGTTTGTCAAGAAAATTTGAGGTTAGAGAATTACATTTTCAAAAAGATTACGATTGTGTTACAAATGAATTTTAATTTAGACAATTGTGTTGAGTATATATAATCGGAATAATGAAATGTGAAAATATAACTTTTTCTTTTCAAAAAAGAGAAAGGCAGGTATAATTATATGGTTTAGGCATTAAGCATATATACATGTGTTGCGTCGCTATTGGAGTTGCAAGTTGGTTTTAACTTAGGCATGTGCCAACATAAGGCCAATATTTAAAGAGCTCCTTTGAAAATGAACATTATCAAAAGCTAAAAGAGACATCACTCAGAAAACAATCTATGGATATACAGTTATGAATCGATATCAAAACCTAACGTTCTCATCTACATTTTCTCTTCGTAAACCAAAATCTTTTAGATGAAAAAAACTAAGCAGTATTATATTATCAGGAAAACAACAACAAACAAAAGCTAAATTGTGTTGGTAAGTTGATATTTTATTAAACATTATTAGAACAATAACGGTTAGCGCGCGCTTTCGGGTTTATGGTTTTCAGCTTTTTGGAAAATATGTCGTAACAAAACTGTCACTACTTCGTTTAGGTTCAAGTTGGTGAAATTTTGTGTCTATTCGGGTTTACAAAAGGTTACCACCATATTATAATTAAAAATTCTGTTCAGCTTGATCTTCCATGATTCAGCTTTCATAACTTCATTTTTTGGGTTAATCATCAGTTTTTAATTATGTTCGGTTTAATTTAATGTAATTAATTTTATGTCTAGGTAGTCAGACTATTTATTTTCAATATTTTGGGTTATTCAGTATAATTGCAATCGATTAAGTTTTGGTTTGGATTCGATTTGATTTTATTCTAGTACATATTCTTACAGTTAAGGATGGTCATTGAAACCGAACTGACTTGGTTTACATAAAATTGTTTTGATTTACATTTATTAATTCGGTAAGGTATTTATGTCAATCCTTAAACCATCAACAATCTTGTAGAACCAATATGCGTTATCCAAAATTCAATCCATTCCGATCATTGATATCACAGGATTCACAGCACTCAAGAGAGACCGTCGTCACCACCACTCATATCAAAAGGAAGTTTGACTTGACAACGATATATTCAACATTTTCATATAAAATATTATAAAGATTTAGATATAATTTTTTCAGAATTATCACAGTCAATTTTTTAAAAACACTAGAGTCAACTGGTTCTTTTTTTTTTAAGAGTCAATTGAGAGATTTCTTTGTCTGAAACCGCTTTAATTTATCTTTGGGTTGATCTCGATGTGGTGATTATGTGTGTAGTCAATTATAAACCAAAACAAAAAATCAAGACATTTCCATTGGATAAACCTTAGTATTGGCTAGAATTTATAAAGTTAAAAGAAACAAAATTCAGTGTTTATGCCCTTTTCAACAAAAGAAAACAAAATTCAGTGATGACATTTTTCTTTGGTGATGGCAAGCTGGAGTCGATTACGCAAATAGCTTTTCACTTTTTCTTTAGTTTTCTTTCGTATTTTTTGTTCAAACCTTCTATTTTGGGGCTCTCTATAATATATTATACCGTAAACCGGATGGGTTTAATTACAAACCAAAACCCGGTTCTACAAATTGGGCCTTACTTATAATTGGATCAGGAGGTTAAATGTACAAGTCTGTGGGTAAAAAAACAAGTAGCCATGTAAACTGCTTGGTTCATGTCCTTCTCTTTCCTTAGAGTCAAATGTAATGGTTTTTTGTGAATTTTTTACACACAAAAAAAATTATTGACATTTCTTATTCATTTAAATAGAAAACTATATATATACACTAGAAGGATAAGTATAGAGATAGGTAAGGAATTTAAAGATGAACTTAAATTTGTGTTAACAAAAAATGAAGATGAAATGAAACACAATTATAGTATTTTCTCTTTGTCCTATAAAACGGCCCCGTAGATTACGGCCACCATAAAGAGAAACCAAGCACGTTGATTTTAATTAACTACGCCTATACGCATTAAAGCGTTTTTTTCTTTCTTATCAAGTTATCATGCATCTTTTTTTCCTAATCGTTTTCGTAGAATATTAACAAAAGATAATCATCGAAAAGGACAGCCAATTATCTTAATTAACCCACTTGAAAGAGTTATTATATATAAACTTCTCATGAATGAAGAAGAACAAAACCTATAAATGTAACTATTTAATAGTTTAAAATCTTCACTAGACGAATTTTGTTATAGTAAAAATAGAAAGAAAACAAGTCATGGTATGTAATTGTCACTTCATCAAGAGTCCAAGACCATCTCTCGCGATGACGTATACCTCTAAGGCTCTAACCACGTAAGAATGTAACTCATGACTCATGCCTATAATTTACAAACTAGTCCGAAATCTGAATCGCGATACATTCAAACAATAAATAAAAGAAAAGTAAAATTACGGACTGGTAGATTAAATGTCTGTAAAAACTAAAAACCAGATACCAAAATTGCCGCTGACGATGGAGATTCTATTCCAGGGGCAGATGTGGACTATTCTCTTAATCTTGTTCGGCCGAAAACGATATGTAGCAACTAATTCACCTAATTTTCTTTTTCATTAGTATCATATATCGTAGCAAATGTGATGTAACCTTTGTACATGATATATCCGTTTGATGGCGAGCTGATGCGTTAGTTTTTATTTAAGTTCATAGATTGAAAAGTACTTCTTAACGATTTTAATTGGAAGGATCGACCAAGTTCAAGAATCTTAGAGTTTGCTGAATATTATGCACACTATTCTAGTTTTGTTACAA